CACACACACACACACACACACACACACACACACACACACACACACACACACACACAGGTTGTGTCTCAATTCAGAGGGTGCAGTCTATGTAGGGTGCATTTGTCCATCACTTAAGTCACTGTGCTGCGTTGTATGCTGTCCCAATTTGTAGGTGCTTACTAATGCAGCCTGTAAATGTGGCTGACAAAATCCTGAAAATGTAGGCTGTATCTGAGTATATAAAAAAACGCTGACTGTATTTCTTTGGCTATTCTGGACCTGGGGCCAAAATTGTTCAAACAGCAGTTGGTATCATTCCATCCTCAGACTTTACAACTACTGAGAGGGTTGCTGGGGTCTCAGCAAGAAGTCTGGGGAGTTAGAAAGCTTGAAAAAAGATATGATACCAGAAGATGCTTAAAAACTCTGTTGAAAACAGGTCAAAGAGAAGAAAACAAAGAGTGGGTGGAGAATATGGACCAGAAGTGATACCGTTCCATGAGCCTGAGATGTTGGCAACTTCCAGGATTTTATTATGGAGGTTTTAAAAGCAGCGCTGTTTGGGGTGAAAGAGTCAATTTGATAAAAAATAAATAAATAAATACAGCATGACAGTTTCATCACTGGTTCTCTGCTTTGAGCTGGCTGATATCAAAGGCTGCAATTGATGCAGGAGGTAAAGACCTCACCAGAGGAAGTGAAATGAGAGGCTTGGTTCAGTTTATCATGGAATATCTACATCACTTTTTTCTTTCTATGCCTGTAAGGTTTTCTTTAAAATACAATGTAATGTGCCACATGACTACAGTTTATTTATGTGAATGACTGTTGAATTTTGGGTTAATTTAAAGTGAACAAGGTAAAAAAAGCACAGTTCTCTTATGTGTTCCGCTACAACCAGCTCTTGAGGACACTAAATTGCTACGTCCGTTTAGCTTTGGCCTGGTCAACGGTCACTCCATCTCACATGAATCCTTCTTTCTTAATGATTTATTCACTGGACAAAATATGGATTTTATGCTTTACACTGAAACGACAGAAAAAGCAGGGGTTTATCCATCTACATGAACTCAAATCTGAAGGAAATTCTATTATTGGCACAYGACATGTTAATTTCAAACATGCCTCTGGACTGACATATAAAAAGCCACACCCTGGACCTTGTCTTCTCCCTTWGTTTAAATCTGTGTGTAGAGGATGTACATATAAGTGACCACAGCTGTGTACTCTTTGATTGGACTTTTTTCCTCAAAAGATCAAGGTTTATTGGCACATTATTGGTCAGAATGCAGCTGAGAGATTCTCTGCTTTGTTTGACCCTTGGATCGTGGATCGTTATCATGGGACCATCTAACACCATCATTGTGTTAGCTGATATTGCATGATCATATCCATCACAGACTTGGGAATTGAACTGAATCAAAATCGTATCATGAAAGACTTTGTGATATCGAGAAACACTGCATCACAATCCAAACAAATCAACATATTGTACTGTGAAAAAGCTGGTGATTTACACCTCTAGTAATAATGTTGATGTTTTTACTTCTTTTAAATGGCACAGTTTGACTTTTTTTAGACCAAGAGGCACCCTTGAACATCTTGAAATCATTTGTTTTTATTTCGTAAAAAACCTTGTCCCTGGATAAATAAAACAATTCAGAATTTGAGAAGAAACTGTCTTAAGGGTGATTAAGGAAATCATTTAAACTTGACTTTGCCTTAAGGAACTAAGGAAGTCTTTAAATGAATGCACTAAAACTGCCAAAACTCTAWATTTTACTAAGCTGATATCTTCCAGTAAAATAAATCTCAAGAGGCAGCTTGACACCATTTATTCCATTTTTAATCCTTGTTCCCCCAAGTCTATGCAATAACTAAACAGATTGTAATAATTTTCTCACTTTTTTTTATTGTYGTTGATAAGGTGTTAGGTGATGTTAGGGCAAACGTCTCTCCATCAACCTCTTACAATCTTCTTTGTGACCCGTTTCCTCATACATCTTACTTTAAACCAGWCTCATTCACAGACCTCTCTGCTCTACTGAATAAAATCAAGACAACCTGCTCATATTTTCCCCACTACATTATGCCCTACTACTGCAGAATGTTTTAACATGTCATTTTCAACAGTTGTGGTTCCCAGGTTTTTCAAACATGCTGTTGTTAAAACAGTACATACAAATCCCAATTCAACAGAATTAAAAACACCTTCAGGCAGATATCTAAAGTGTCGTTTGTATCAAAATTACTTGAAAAAGTTGTGGCAGAGCAATTTTCTATCTTTTTATAATCAGGCTTATGCAAAGCCCACTCAGAAACTGCCCTTTCAGTGGTTACCAATAATTTGATATGAGCTGATTTAGATACCGTTGATCCTAAGATTTTTATCAACAGACTTCAGAATCAATTTGGGTTATATTATATATTTTTCTGCTCCTGTCCTCAAGTGTCTGATCAAAGTTTTAAAGTTCCTACTTTTATTGTGAAGTCCTCTGTGATATTCTAAACATGAAAGGTGCTTTATAAATAAACTTTACTTACTTAACTGACTGCTATATACATGCAGATCATTCATTGTGCATCTGTAGACTGCTATGTTTTGGGACTGTTTTAATGAAGCTTTAAACCATACTTTTTACAGTTTTCAATTTGTCAAAAGAGAAGGAAAACACCTGGTTATATGATGAAACTTGTCTCTACTGACATTAGCTAACCATCTTCTCAGAAGGTCAGGTTCCTCTAACAGAAATCTGAAAAAACTTACATTTATAATATTTTACTCTGTGTAGGTCTAAATATTACTTAAATCAGAGGACAAATCAGCTGTAATGTTTGTATTAAATTGTAGCATGATGCAGCAGAGTGCTATATATGCTTCACAAGCTAATATCTTCTAACCAGTTCAATAAAAAATAGTGATTAAATCTGCTTTATAATCTTATTTGAATTTTAAACTTTTATGTTATTAGCTTCAGTTCTGGTCAGATACATTGAGCTAAATAAGATCAAATCTGTTTACTTGTGTTGTGAAATGAAATGTTTTCCTGTTTATCTTCTGTTGGTAGATTCACAACACACAAACCTTTTCTGACATTTAGAACATAGAAAGATTATACAAACTCTAAAATATTAATAACGATTTTGTTAATATTA